AATCGCCTCTGTTTAATGACCAAGACTGACGAGCTTGTATTAAGAGATTGTATACCCGGCCGGTGAAAGACTCGAGATGCTATAGGAATCTGAGTAAATGAGAATAAGGTATAATAACAAATTAAAAGAATATTCAATCATAATCTAAAATAATGTGAAAGGAAACAAAATAATCTTATCAATGTTTTATAATTGGAGTCAGATAAAACGAGGATAAATATATTAATATTCTAAACCACCTCATACTAAAATTGGAGTCAGATATGAGTTAAGTTTAATATAAATCAATATTGTGCACTGGAAAGACCGAACATGCAGTGAACCTTCATCCACCATTGGATACCATCATTGGACCAACTGGGTGGACCCTACACCCATATACAAATAAATAAAACACCACAAGCCAAGGGCGGACTGGCCATCTGGCAATTCTGGCAAATGCCAGAAGGGCCGGACCAATTTTTAAATGTGGGCCTGTCAGTTTTTTTTTTTTCTTTTTTAATATGTATTGTTCTTACATGCAGGCAGCTTTTATGTCTTGCTAGATGTGATATTATGATGATGATAAAAAAATAAAATAAATAATAATAATAATAATAAATGTTAAGCATTTGGCCCAATTGGTGACGGCCGCCTGATTTTAAGATGGGCCGACCCAATCTGAGGTTACTCGGACGTAATCAAATTCCGGCAAGAATGTCATATTTTTTCACCATCTGTACACCAAAATAAATAGTAAATGTCCGTGTCCGTGGGTGGGTTGTGTCGGTGTGGTAATGTGGGCTGATGTGGCTACAGTGCCAAGGCTGAATTTTTGTCCCAGTCCGCCCCTGCCACAAGCAGATTTAAAACGTCAGAATCTGCAGAACAAGGATCAGCACTGACCTTTCCAAGAAGAAGAGCGACTGCAGCAGGCTTGAACTGAAAGGCTGATTCATATTATTGAGTGTTTCTAATTCAAAAACTCTTTTGTTTAGGGTTAGTGATTCAGATCTCATTTAATGTTTACAGAATAATGAAAAATGATTTACAGACCTAATTTGCATCAATGAATTAAAACAAAACAAGAAGACTGCAATGAATAATCCCTGATATAAGGATCATTTCTAATCATTTATCAGATTTACCATTGTTTTAATTATTACGAAAAATCAGTGAAATGCAAATTTTACTCATGCAAAAAAAATATTCCAGACAATGGATTATCAAGTTATGAATTCCAATAGTGAAGGTGGCGAGGCAGTAGCGCAGTTTCTGTGTGGAGTTTGCATTTTCCCCCTGCCTTCACGTGGGTTTCCTCCGGGTGCTCCGGTTTCCCCCACAGTCCAAAGACATGCGGTACAGGTGAATTGGGTGGACTAAATTGTCCGTAGTGTATGAGTGTGTGTGTGTGTGTGTGTGTGTGGATGTTTCCCAAAGATGTGTTGCGGCTGGAAGGGCATCCGCTGCGTAAAAACTTGCTGGATAATAGTGAACTATAATGCTATTGTAAGTGAATGATTAGCACAGGTTATTAAAGCATTAGTTCACTTCTATAAAAGTGAGTTTTCCTCCACTAGAGGTCGCTGTGATGATCAGATTCTCCACAGCTCTGATTCTCTCAGCTCTCGCCGGGTTCAGTGGCGCGCGCCTGTAATCCAAGCTACAGGTTGGCTGAGGCTGCGGATCGCTTGAGCTCAGGGCTTCTGGACTGCAGTGGACTATGTCGATCGGGTGTCCGCACTAAGTTCGGTATCGATATGGTGCTCCTGGGTGAGCTCGGGACCGCCAGGTTGTTTAAGGAGGAGTGAACCGGCCCAGGTCGGAAACGGAGCAGGTCAAAGCTCCCGTGCCGATCAGTAGTGGGATCGTGCCAGTGAATAGACACTTCAGTTCAGTCTGAGCGACACAGAGAGACGCAGACTTTTACATTAATTTTTTTTTTTAAACTTTGATTTGTCTTTCTAACTGTGAAACTGAAGAAATAAAGATTTAGAGATGTATGATGACTATGCATTATTAATAGTAAGTAATAATTAAAAGTTTACTAGCAGACTTCAAAAAGTTTATTTGTAAACAAAAATACAAAAATCATTTCAATTTCATGTCTATATTTTAAAAATATGCCTTAGACAGAAATATATTGAATTTAATTGAAAATATATCAAATTAAAATATATATATAGAGAATAATTTTACTTTAAACATAAATGGCACATTATACTTTTTGGCCCCATCAGAAACAAAAGTAACACACGGGTAGGTCACAACCAGATTTACTGGCTTCATCATGTTTGTTTTAATTATATCTGACTATGACATTGTTAATTATTTTTTTAATACCACCTGATATTGACGGTTAAAAAGCTTCCAGTACAAAATGGCATTTTTATTGATAAATTAGTTATAGAGTATTATGCCAAATGCAGTTTTAATCTAGAAAGTTTTGTTTAATAAAATAGAGGAGGGGGATATATTTAAGAAATTAATAACACTTAAAAATAGTAAAGCAACAGGGTTAGATAATATTCCAGTGCAGTTCCCTCAAAGACTCCCTAAATGCGTCACTCCGATGGTTACACATATTATCAATTTTTCTGTTTGTCAAGGTAAAGTTGAAAAAAGCAAGAGTTATTCCTCTTTTTAAGAAAGGTAGTAGGTTTGAGGTTAATAATTCTAGGCTGGTATCAATTTTGAGTGCTTTGTCAAAAGGGAGGGAAAAAGTTATTTATTAGCACATTGAAAAATATTGTTTAAAATGTGACGTATTGTAGAGTTTCAGTCGGGTTTTAGGAAAATCATTCCACTGATTCAACAGTTTCTTTTATTTAACAAATTATATAAAGAGCGATATGGATAAAGGAAGTTAAGTGGGATGATTTTCTTAGACCTGCAAAAAGCTTTCAATACAGTCGATCACAGGATATTGATTTTAAAAGTAAAGGCAATGGGTTTTGGTGTTTTGGCCTGTAAATGCATGAAGTCTTACCTTGAAAACAGATGTCAAATAGTAGATTTAAATGATGTGTTTTCAGATTATTCGACCGTTTCTTATGGGGTTTCACAAGGCAGTGTTTTAGGTCCTTTGCTTTTTTAATATACATCAATGATTTGAAAATGGCCTGTTCAAAAAAGCTTTTGTTAAATGCGGATGATGCAGCAATAATTGTGTCTCATGAGAGGAAGGAATTTATTGAAAATGAAAAAAGTAAACAAACTTAGGAAGTCTCTTAATGGTTTAACCTTAATAAATTGTCCTTACACTTGTGTAAACCAGAATTTATTTTATATGGTTCAACTGAAACTGAGAAAATGTGTCAGATCAGAGGTAAAAGTAGAGCATCAAATTAATGAACCCAAACATGTAGGGAAATATTTAGGTTCCATTTCAGACAGTAATTTGACAGGTGAGAAGATGGCTGTTATAGTCCAATCAAAAGTTCTAAAATTAAGTTTTTAGCAAGACAGACAGAGCTCTTAGATTTCCAAACTTTACAAATATTGGCTAGTGCATTAGTGCAGTCATACTTTGACTATGCTGCAGCCTTTTGGTACAGCAGTAGTTCCACAAAAATGAAAAATAAATTGCAGAGGGCCCAAAATAAGTTGCAGAATTGTTATCAAAGTACTTCCACTGACACATTTAAATAATGAATATTATAGTCAAATTAATTTATTAAAAGTTGGAAAAAGGGTCACTTTTCTGAAATTGGTGATGGTGTTTAAGATTTTAAAGAAAATGGTCCCAAAATATTTACTTATAAAGTTTTAGTTAGTGAGGTACACTGTCATTCTACAAGAGCGAGTAGCAGGGGTATTTGTCCTTGTAGATTTAAGAGTGAAACAGGTAGAAAGTCTTTTCTGTGTACTGTTGCTTGGAATATACTGCCGAGGAGTTTTAAAGAGATTCAATTTGAGAGTTTTTAGAGAGGAAATTAAAAAATGGCTGTTTTACGGTTGAAGTTGAGGATTTTTGTTGTGCTGAGTTTCTGAGCTGATGATGTTTGCACTTTATGATTTGCTCGTTCATTTTTTAAGAATATCGATGACCACGATGGAAATCAGCCTGTGGCTTTATTGTGTATTTTATCCTCGACAGTTTTTAAGATATGAATGTCAAACTGGACTTGTTTGTATATTTTTGTTAAAATTGTTAAATAAAATCAATCAATCAATTTATTCATTCATTTTCCTTTATCTTAGTCCCTTTATTAATCTGGGGTCGCCACAGCGGAATGAACTGCCAACTTATCCAGCATATTTTTTACACAGCGGATACCCTTCCAGCTGCAACCCAGTACTGGGCAATATCCATACACCCTCATTCACACACACACACACACACACACACACACACACACACACACACACACACACACACACACACACAACACACACACACTATGGCTAATTTAGTTTATTCATTCACCTACAGCATAGCACATGGGTTTGGAGCACCCAGAAGAAACCCACATGAACACAGAGAGAACAAACAAACTCCACACAGAAATGCCATCTGACCCAGTCGGGACTCCCAGCAGCAGCCTTCCTACAGTGAGGCCATGTGTATATATATATATATATATAAAGATACATTATTTTTTCCCTTAATAGCTACATTTTAAAGAAATCTATTTGCTTAAGTCAGCTGAACTGTAAACAACAACAGCAATAGAAACCACCAAAGGACACCATATGAACACAGCCAAAATGACTTATTAGAGCATGCACATCTTTGTCATTCCAATGGATTTTTAAAAATATGTACATGCCGCCTTTTCTTCCATGTTTCTTGAACTTTTCCCCTTTATGAGGAAAACTATTGAATACTATAAAAGCTGTTCAGCGTTTTATTTTTTTCAGATTAACATTTAATAGACTTTAACTAAAAGTTTTAGATTCTGAGCAGGACAGCACACTGGTTCTACCGCAGCATGTTTGTTCATCATTTCTATCTTAATGTGTTGATCATTTTCTTTTGTGTTTCTGTATTGTGTGAAGGTCAACCAGTCCACAGTTTATGCTGCTATAATCTTTATTCAGTTTTATTCATAAACTATGTACAATATATACACTGTGCTCACGTCGGCTCCAGGTCTCTTGGGTGAAGGTCTCTCAGTGACGTGGTCTCTTCTGGTCTCCGTGCGTCTCTGGTGGAGATGGGGAGCGGGAACGTTTCCTTCTGGCGTCCTGGACTGAAGATGCCGCACCAGCTGAGGAAGAGGAGGGCAGCGGCTTGGTCTGGCAGAAGGAAGGCCTCTTTTTCTTCTCAGCAGCATAGGCCTCACTAAACAGATCGAGCGCAAACACACACAAGCAGACATAATGTGAGATTTTCACTAACAATAGAACATTCTGCAATGCCGAGTACAGTTTACTCACGCGTCTATGATGGGAATGACGTATTTGCCGCTGCCGTCCATCATGACTCCCTTTCGGTTTGGGTCTTCCACCTCCAACAGGAAGCTGCGGGGAATCCCTGTGCTCCTCCGGATGCGCTTAAGCGGAGCAGAGCTGCTGCCCTGTGAATTCATGAGTGACAGTCAAACGACAGAGCAAACAATCTGACTGATGGAGACAAGAGCTCAAGTTCACAGCAACCATAAGCTTAGAAAACCCAGTTACCCCTTTAGAGGGGCAGTGCCTAATGTGGTGTCCTGGGATCCCACAGTGAAAGCAGACATAGTTGGGTGGAAGAAGCCCAAGCAGTGTCATGGCCTCACTGATGAACATCAGAACCATGAGAATCAGCTCTAACATTTCTCACAAACCAAACCTGTCAGTGTCTGAACGCTCACCTGCTGGAGTAGTAGCACAGACTGGACTGGTACATCGCCGCTTTTAGCTTGTCCTCCTCTGATGCCTTTGCCTCAGCCAGATTCTCAGTCTGTTTCACAGGCATTTGCACATTAGAATTTTATTTCACTGATTTGCTCTAAATAAACACCCTCAAATCTCCCTAAGAAGCTGTGTGTGTGTGTGTGTGTGTGTGTGTGTGTTTGTGTGTATTGTTGTTTGCTAAACACTGTGTATTGATATTCTGCACTACATGTCATTATGACGCCTCAAATGCAAACACTGCAGTTCAATACAGAGCAGCACAGTGAGGTGAATTAATCATTTGTTCAATACCTTCAACAGCTGCTCCAGTGAGAGGAGTGAAGAATCACCTGTTTGAGAAGATTTAGCTGATGGTCCAGCTTGATGTCTGCAAAACAAAACAAAGGAGCTTGTGTGACTAAACACCACAGACAGACTCAAACTCTTGATATAACATCTATCAGAGGATGATTGCACTCATTTCACATGACTTACCCAACAAATCTTCTGTTGGAGGACTTCAGTCCAGCAGCAGGGACCCGTCTGATGATGACCGATGTGTTTTTAGGGATGAGAGCATCATCATCTGTGTATTCTGACGGCAAAATAAAGTTTGAATATAGTAATAATCATTTACCATGGTATACTTTGAGTGCCATTAGCATTTTAAAACACTCAAAACATCACTATATGTCACCATCAGAGTCATGATAACACATGTCAGCTTCTACAAGTCTGTCTGATAACACATCTAATGTTAGTGTAATATAGTTTAAGTGGCTTTTCCTCATCTCACCTTCATCAGTTTGGGCTTTGCTGATCTTCAGCTGGCAGAACTTCAGCCTCTCGCGCCTCATGATCTGCCGCTTCAGCTCTCCCACAGTGATGTTGAGGCCCTTAAACTGGAGCGAGTCGTAGGTGAGTCGACTCTGAAACCTGTAATGAACACAAGACATACTGAACACAAACCACATTGTGATAACAAGGGTCAAACCTGAATGATGGAAAAAGCAGACGATCAATCGATTTATCCAACAATCAATAATATCAATAATCTGGGAATCAGTTGCCACGAAGGACGCCGAGATCAGATGCCAATGACAGAGCGGAGTTCAAAACAACACAAAAAGAACCGTTGCCATGGATGCTGACGATCACGTGACAAGGCGCTGAAAAACTTCCGCGTTATTTTCTCATAAATAATAGTGAAATCATTACTATGATAATAATAAAATAAACAGCAGAACAGTTGGACATCTCTGCATAAAACACAGCTGCGTTTCCTTACACGAATGATTCTGGCCTTTGTAAAGAGTCGGGCGAGTCAATGAATCAGGGATTCGTGGCTGAATGAATCACTCAAAGCTTCACTCGATTAAAGCGGTCTCTTGCTGCCACCTATTGGCGATTTGTTTTTTCGTTTTTAAAGTAATTTAAGACTTTTTTTAAAGCCACCTTCAAATTTATTTTCTACAAAAGTTTATTTCCGTGTGTTAAAAATGATTTAAAACTCTCTAATCTCATCATTTCCTGATGCGTTTATAATGTAAATCCCTTCATGTTTGCCTTTGATCTTCATTATGTGTTAAAATCAATACAATATTAAAGTTGCCTCATCCAAATCCAAAGTTTAGTTCAAAGCTTTATTATACAGCCATGTGTGTGTGTGTGTGTGTGTGTGTGTGTGTGTGTGTGTGTGTGTGTGTGTGTGTGTGTGTGTGTGTGTGTGTGTGTGTGTGATTGTGGCAGTGGATTACAGTGAATGTTGAAGTGATCAGAAGTGTGTGATATTTATTGTTTCTGATAATCAAAAGAACATTTTAAGAGTCCAAAAGATTTACTGCCTGATGAAGCCTGTTATAATGCAATTATGATGACCCTATAAATCTAGAATGGTCAGAACAATAAAAAATTAGGGAAAGAGATTAATTAGTATTTCTCCTCTTTTTTTTGTATGTGTAAGTGCACCTGGAAGAAAAAGTCTGCGTCTCTCTGTGTCGCTCAGGCTGCACTGCAGTGTCTATTCTCAGGTGTGATCCCACTACTGATCAGCACGGGGGATTTGACCTGCTCCGTCGCCGACCTGGGCCGGTTCACCCCTCATTACACGACCTGGTGGTCCCAAGCTCCCCCAGGAGCACCATATCGATACCGAACTTAGTGTGGACACCTGATCAACATAGTCCACTGCAGTCCAGAAGCCCTGAGCTCAAGCAATTCGCAGCCTCAGCCTCCCAGTAGCTTGGATTACAGGCGCGCGCCACTGAACCCGGCGAGAGCGGAGAGAATCAGAGCTGTGGAGAATCTGATCATCACAGCGACCTCTAATAGAGAAAATGATAAATGATGAAGTAAAGTTGACTTTTTATTGGTCTTATGGCACTGTTTGGATAAAAATAAACAGCAGTACGGTCCCAAATAAAATATAGTTATTTAAACTAAATACTATAGTATTTTAGAACCACATAGTAAAGTTTATTGTACTGAATAGTATAATCACAATGTTGTGCTATTTAAAGGCAACTGTGGTGCAGAGTCGGGTTGGAAGAAACTTCAAGCATTTCTGTTTTCGTGAGGTTAAGCTGAAGATGATGATCTTTCATCCAGTGTGAAATGTCCGACAGGCAGGCTGAGATGCGAGCTGGAACCGAGGGATCATCAGGGTGAAAAGAGAGGTATAGTTGGGTATTATCAGCATAGCAGTGGTAGGAGAATCCATGTTTCTGAATGACTGGTCCTAGAGATGTCGTGTAGATGGAGAAGAGAAGTGGCCCAAGAACAGAGCCTTGAGGTACCCCAGTGTTTAGATGCTGTAGGTTGGACACCTTTCCCCTCCATGACACCCTGAATGACCTGTCAGAGAGGTAAAATCTGAACCATTGAATAACAGTGCCTGCAACGCCCAGTGACTCATATATATTATATATATAATGATTAATACATATAGAAACAATATTTTCATAACTAAATTATTTATGATTTGCCGTTTAACAGCGAAACATCTCGTCAAATAGGCCACAGTTCATCAGGAAATGAAAAGCTTTTAAATGACAACAGAAAAGCAGTTCAGCGACTAACATTCACTCATTCAGTGAGTATCTCATTTATTCATTCATTCATTCACTAATTGAATCAACACTTTTTCAGTCACTTAATATGGTGTCAGATGCAGATGTGGCCTCTAGTGTAATCCACAGTTCATATATTGCACAATGACGCTAAAGGCCACCATATTATAAAATACTGCAGGTTGTTGGTTGCAGATTAATAATCACAAACATAATTTTTTAATCATAAAACAGCTAAAACATATTTAGTGTCAGAGAGGACAAAGTGGTTTTAGTTTACCTTTTATCTTTAATATTAAACAGCTTTTTAGTCTTTAGACCAGAATAAATAACTTGTGGTACTTGTATAAACAATGTTCAGCTCAGGATCAGTAATTCAGCATGATGTGCTGCTAAAGCTGAAACAGTCTATCAATTTATGCCACAGATTGTGTGAGATTCTGTTGAGTCTTATAGATGTTAAAAACACTGATGGAGGTCAAAACCGCATCTGACACCACAGTTAGTGGATGAGTAAGAGTAAACTGAATAATAAATATGTAACTCAGTTAATGATAGTTATTCACTGCATGAATGAATGTTAGATGAGGAACTGGTATTTAAGTGGAAAATTAAAACATTAAAGCTTTACTTTTTCAGAGGTTCACTGTTTGCACAATCTTAAATGGATAGTTCACCGCATAAATATGATTGTGACGATTATGAATTACCATTTTTGGGTCAATTATCCCTTAGCTCACATAAATTATCCCAGAGCATTATTTCAGCATCAATGATCATTCACAATAGTCACATCACAAGAAATACAAGGTTGAGTCTGGATTATAATTTAGCATTTGCGTGTGTTTCTGAGGCCTGCGACTGTAAAAGCTTTAGGTCTAATAAAATGCATAATTTGTCATTTTAATTGCAAATCATTTTATTTAATTAAAAAATGAAGACAATAGCAGTATTATTTTACATTTGATTATTACATTACTGTACCTGAATACTGTTTGACTCGTTGAAAAACAACAAAGCTCTGTTCATTTTATTTCAGAATTTTATATTGTATTTATCTCTGCTCGTAGATTGTTTGTAATGTTTTATGCAGATGCACACCTAACATAAACAAATAACCCATTCTGTAATATGTTTTTTACAGCTATATGTATTATGATACAATAAACCACTTTTACTGTAAAAAAAAAACTAAAGTATACTACAATATTTATTACATTTTATTAGTTGATACAGAAAACAGAATGTTGTGGCACTCATAAAATGAGTTGTAAAGGCTAATAAATATGGTATAATAATCTTTAGTTCAAAAATACTATGTTGATACTAATTACTGTAATTTTTTTATTTGTGATCATACTGCTGTTTATTATTATCTAATGTCATAAGGCTATGAAGACAGTTTTTATTCATCATTCAGTTTTCCTCCACTAGAGGTCGCTGTGATGATCAGATTCTCCACAGCTCTGATTCTCTCAGCTCTCGCCGGGTTCAGTGGCGCGCGCCTGTAATCCAAGCTACTGGGATGCTGAGGCTGCGGATCGCTTGAGCTCAGGGCTTCTGGGCTGCAGTGGACTATGTTGATCGGGTGTCCGCGTTAAGTTCGGTATCGATATGGTTCTCTTGGGGGAGCTCGGGACCACCAGGTCGTTTAAGGAGGGGTGAACCGGCCCAGGTCGGAGACGGAGCAGGTCAAATCCCCCGTGCTGATCAGTAGTGGGATCACACCTGTGAATAGACACTGCAGTGCAGCCTGAGCGACACAGAGAGACGCAGACTTTTACACTAGTTGTTTTTACTCTGATATATCTTTCTAACAGTAAAAAAGAAGCAATAAAGGTTTTGAGATGAATGACATGGCTGTGTGTTAATAATTAGAAATAACTAAAAGTTTGGTTTTTTCGAGTGATGGGTTGCAGCTGGAAGGGCATCTGCTAAAAACGTGCTGGATAAGTTGGGGGTTCATTCCGCTGTGAACCAACGAGACTAATCTGAAAAGAAAATGAATGAATGAATAAAAGTTTATTTGTAGACTAGACATTTTATTGCAGAAATACAGAAATTATCTCAATTTCATGAGTGTATTTTGAAAAGATGATGTTTTAGACAGAAATATGTTTTGCTGTGGTTACTAACTCATAAGTGTGGTCTATCAATATCGGGTGGTATTTTAAAAAATTATAGAAGAATTTCACTTTAGTTCTCTCCGTGTTGGTGTGGGTTTTCACTGGTTGGTCTGGTTTACCCCACAAGTCCAAAGACATGCGGTATAGGTGAATTGGGTAAGCTAAATTGTCTGTAGTGTATGGGTGTTTTCCAGTAATGGGTTGCAACATGGGAGGGCATCCTCTGCGTAAAACATATGCTGGAAAAACTGGCGGTTCATTCCGCTGTGGTGACCCCCGATTAATAAAGCGACTAAGCCGAAATGAAAATGAATGATTGAATGAATTTCACTTTAAACATAATTTACACATTGTTACTTTGAACCCATCATCTGATATTTGGCAGCTCCATCAAGGGTTCTGCATTGTTTTCTTTTTATTGTGGGAATAACCAGACAGGTATCAGCAGTTGTGACGGCTCTTTAATCACTCCTGATGTAAACAAAAGCACAGATTTTACAGTGTGTCTTCGCCCTCATCACTTTTACATGCTTCAATCAGACAAATATAAATCAAAACCTCAATTAAAGTGAAAACACAAAAATAACGAACTATGTGAAATATGTGAAAAAGAAAGTTATACATAATATTGAAACATAAAAACTGGCTTCAAAAGTCAAGTAAATATGATTTAAGATTAATTAGAGCTGCAGACACCCACCTCTCCCATGTGCAGTCAGTACAGAAAAGGAGGAGGCGGGTGCAGAACAGTAAATTAAAAAACTTAAGCTTTCTTAGAAATTTAAAGGAGCAGGTATACTTAATAAACACTTCAGGTAAAACACACATTTTGTGTAATTCTATAAATAAAGTGAACTATTATTTCTATACCTGTTACACAGGCCTGGATTGGCTAATCGGGAGCACTGGGAAAGTTT